AAGACAGACAAAGGCCCAGCCCAGCCCACACTGCCCACACGCAGGAGGGGGGCATGAGGAAAAACGCAGGTGTGTTGGTCTGGTGAAGGACATAGGGCCCAGCCCATTGTTCAGCAAAAACAAACAAAAAAAACTGAAATGGAGGACGCATGGAAAATAGGGGGTGCGTACGGTCCAACAACCCCTGATGGGCCCAGGGCCCAATCTTCATCCTCTCCTGTCACTCTCTTTGGCCGCAGAAACCCTAATTTTGCCTATCTCTCCTCCTTTTGCACTGTTCACCTTCCTCCTAATCTCACCCACGTCTACCTCTGTTTTCCTCTTTGATCACCACTCTTATTCTATCATATTCAAACTCAACTTTCATTTCACAATCTGCAAAAACAAAAGAATAAACAACAGAAACCCATCGCCATCTGGAAACTTGAAGATACTGAAGGTGTGATGAAGTTCATTAAATTTCTGAGGAAACTTGAAGAAGATGATTGCTGATGATGCGTCCTTATGAAACTCTTTGATGGATCGTAACCTGGAAACGTTTATTGGTGGACGTTCGCGGGGTAGATCTGGGACGAAGTTTGTTGAAGTTGTTTCATGTTCTTGATGAGAAATCTGGAGCTTGATGATACTTGCATGTGAATCTTGAAGGTTATTTGCTGAAGACGAGCGTTTGGATTTTTCTGAAGCCCAAAGCGTAGATTGCGTGTTCTTCTCGAAGTCTTTTGGAGGTTCCTTCGAAGGAGGTTTGCTGAAGATTTTGGAGTTGCTTGGATGACGTTGATGATCTGATGATGAAGAAATTTCTGGGAAGTTGTTCATGGCTGGCTTGATGGATCTTGAAGGAGGATCTACGAGGAACTTGATGAACGGTTTTCTGGAAACTTCTCGGAGATGATGAATGTGGATTAAAGTCTGATGAATCTTGATGGACATCACGAATATTGATGATGACCTTGCAGATTCTGGAGATGAGGAAGACTGATGGAGATTGTGCTTCCCGTTGATGATTTTGATCAGAAAGATGAGGGTTGATCGGAGAGGTTCTTGAAGGTTGATCGGAGAGGTTCTTGAAGGTTGATCGGAACAGAGGAAGAAGATGAATGTTGACCGGAGATCTGGGGATTTTTGGTGTTCTCCGGCGAAGTGTGCGGTGGTCGGAGACGGTTGAGGGTGGCCGGCGGCGTTCTGGTACGGTGGTCACCGGACTTTGCATGTAGTCCGGTGAGGGAGGAGGTGGTGCCACGTGGTGAGATGAGTGGAGGGTGGATTGCTGCATGCAGGACGCGTGGGGCGGTAGTGGAATGAGTCGCTGCATGGTGACCACGTGGCAGAGAGAGGAAGGGTCTGAAGTGAGGTGGCGTGGCGTGGTGATGAAATGTGGCCAGCCTCCTCATTCAACACGTGGCTCTGCTGAATTTATACTGGGATTAGTTCTGGATGCTTCTAGAAGATTCTGGGTGAAAGTGAACAATTCTGGACTGAATGGATAAGACTGGGCCTTGCTGAATGAATTTGGGCTTGCGAATTGAAATGGGGCCCAATACGAAAATCATCACAAAAACTCAGAAAAAAACTGAATTAAGACCAAGATTAAAAACCTAATTAACTAAACTAAACTCAATTAATTTCTATTAATTAACAAACTCTAACAAATCCACTAATCTAAAACCCTAATAAAACCTATATTAAAAATTTTATTAAATTCCTAATAACATTTAATAAAAACTATTAAAAGAAAAAAAATCTATTTATCTCTATATTAAAAAAGCTATTAAATTTTATACTATTTAAAAGAAAATTTATTATATTCTATAAATCCAAAACAAAAATCTATAATATTTCTATATCTAAAAAAACTATATGCTTTTATCAAAACCATTTAATATCTAATATATTCTAAAACTATTAGAAATATTAAAACCTATTAATATTCTATATCTAAAAATATATTCAAAAATCAATTAATATTCTAAAAGAAAAATCTATATTATTCTAAAATGATTTAAAAGCTAATAAAAAAAATTTAAAAATGGCCAATAAAATCCAGAAAAATCACAATAATTCCCGAAGGAGCAACAATAGCACCGAACGACAAATAACGCCGCGAGAGCGCACCAAAATAGCCGGTAAAAATAAACGGGCGCCGAAATATCCCAAAAATACGATTCTACCTATCTGAACTGATTAAAAAAAACACCTGAAACACGAGACGAGGGCTGTGATCCTGATAAAGCCAAAACAAATGAAAAATGCACTGTATGCGATATGCAGATGCGAATGTGGTCACGCGTCGAAACATCGAGCCAGATACGGGACCCGGTTGGTCAAATTTTGGGGTACAACAATATAGGCACACAAAATTCATCATTAAAACAGCCAACAATATCAAAAGTTTATAGAAATTCAGAACCAATCACATCCGAATTACCTTGAAGAGAGGAAAGACCTCTCGTCTCTACCCCATCATGCAAAACACCAAAATTGATAGCCCTTTGTCCCCTTTACCTTGGATTTTCAGCAATTTATGATGAATTATATATATTAATGAGAATTAGATATGAATTGAAGGTTTAAGAAACACAAGAAAGGGGATTTAAATTGGGTTTCTAGATTAAAACTTTTTCACAACCTAAGAACACAAATAGAAAATATTTAACAAAGATAAAAGACATAAATTTTTTGCCTAGTTCCCTGTTAACTGAGCTACGTTCAGTCTAACTACTAAAGTGATTTCGCCATCTAAATAAGGTCTTAATCCAATAATCAAAGAATAGATTACAAACTCAAGGATAACTTGTCTAAGACTTCTTGAGAATCATGACTATAACAAAGTCTCTCAAGGAATTTAACCAAAGGTTAAGATTACAAGATTTGTTTTACAAATTGCTTCTAAAAGTAAGCAGATACACAAGTTAAAATCAAAGAATGCACTTAAGAAATATAGGTCTTAGCGTGAAACGCTTCTCTTTTTGTTTCTCACATGTGTGTGTGTGTGTGTGTGTGTGTGTGTGTGTGTTCTTATTATCCAGAACCAGTAGATTTCCAAACGTCCAATACTTCTTTATATAGATGAAGAATAAATTCATTGGAGGGTAGAATTGGAATATCCTCAATATCACATCTATTTGAAGGTCATTTGTTTCTACAACAGTAGAATGGCGCTTGCAACATAGAGTGAGTAAAGATGGGACGCGAGGAATGGCATTGGTACAATAATACAATCCTTTTTCAGAATCTTCAAGGTAATGGAAAGGATATTTTCTTTTGTACTAATTATACTTTTTCCATGTGTTATTCTTTATGTTGTTGACTTTTAGTCATATCTTGTCTTCATTTCGGGTAGACTTCATAGGCTTCATAGGCTTGAATAATCATAATAATTCTTATAGTAATTCCGGGTAGATTCTTTGCAGAAGTGTTAACTTGGTAATTTAGATGCTTGGCTTTCATTTAAGCACACCTTTGATTCTTCCTTTAGTTTAAAGTCCGTCTATAGTTTAGAGTCTGGTCGTCCAAAGTTGACTTCTTCAGAGTCATAATTTGTTTTCTATGATATGCGTTCTTAACAAAATAATTAGAGTACAAAATCATTCTTATACATATCAAAATTTGTTATTATCAAAACTCAAGGATAGTTGCATAATCAAATTTGTTTTGACAATATCCTTCTAAAATATCTAAAGTTTATAGAATACTCTCAAGAATAATTCTTGTTGACATGTGTATGACAATGAAGGCAAAATCTGTATAAATCTCTAGTGTATCTCTAAATTCCCTATCTCTTTACTTTATTGTTTTTTATTTTTATTTTTTGTTGATCCTTCACTCTTTTGTTTTAAAAAATTTTAAAACTCTAATTTTAAAAATTGTTTTATTTTAAATCAAAGGCTAACTCATGTTTAAAGACTAATAGTTTTAAGAGGAAGATGACCTCCAACACTTATTTTATCAAGAGGACTTTCTTAAACATATTTCACCATTTAATGGTAATATGATTGAATTATAGAAAACTAGAGTTTAAAATTTCATTCAAAGTAATTATCTTGAATTGTGAGAAACATTATTCAATGGTTCATTACTCAAAATGTTAATGGTTAAATAGTAGATAAACTTGATTTCCTTTAGAATAAAGAAGACAAGAGAAATATTGAATTAGATTTCAAAGCTAAAAACTTTTTAGTCATGTCCGTAAATGAAAATCAGTTTCAATGAAAGCCTAGCATTTACGTTGCCTCTACGAACTACAAGGATCTTCTAGTGGAAATCAAACATAAACATTCTTCTAACGATGGAAAGGATCTTCTTATGAAAGTCCATCATATAAATTGCCTCTAGTAGCAGAAAAAATCTTCTAGTAAAAGTCCAACATTTACATTGAGAGATTGTATAAAGCATATCTAATCTTTCAAAATTCATAAATTTTGAAATATTGTTAGATATTTTATCAAGTCAATTTATTTCGACCGATAATAAGTTATTTAAAATATATCATTGATTAATATATATATATATATATATATATATATATATATATATATATATATATATATATATATATATATATATATATATATATATATATATATATATATATATATATATATATATATATATATATATATATTTTAAACTTTTTTAATTTTTATTTTTTAAGAAACATTTTCTCTTTGTTGTTTTATGAGATATTTTTAATTTTGTTGAATAGTCAATAATGAAGAAGAAAAGTAATAGCAACTTTTAATCAGCCAAAACCAAATGTTAACGTCTCGATTTGGTGCCCTTTAACATATTCCATCTTAATGAGAATTAAATTACAATTTGTCGAGATATGAACCTAGTTTTTCTGGCCACTTATTTTTCTTATGGAATAACCTTTTTTTTCCACAAGAAGAATAGTCTTCTCAATTACTACCAAATTTTCAGGTAAAATGTTCCTATAAATACATCACTTGAGCCCCATCATTTTTCATCAAACACCATTAAACTTTTCTGAAATTAAAATGGTTTCGTTTTCTCTAATGTGTGTCTTGGGATTAATATTCATTGTGGGGAATTACGTTGCACATGCACAAAACTCACAGACCGACTTCGTGAATGCTCACAACGCAGCAAGATCCCAGGTTGGTGTTTCAAATATTGTTTGGGACAACAATGTCGCTGCTTATGCTCAAAACTATGCTAATCAACGTAAGGATTGTCAACTGGTCCACTCGGGTGGGCGTTATGGGGAGAATATCGCAAAGAGTTTCGGCGGAGACTTGAGTGGCACAGATGCAGTGAAATTATGGGTGAGTGAGAAACCAAACTATGATTATAATAGTAACACATGTGTTGGCGGTGAATGTCGCCATTATACTCAGGTGGTTTGGAGAAACTCGATACGTCTTGGATGTGGCAAAGTGAAATGTGACAATGGAGGAACATTTGTAACTTGCAGCTATGATCCACCTGGTAATTATGCTAACCAAAGGCCATACTAAGTGTGTGATTCATATCATCACTTATTTCAATTAAGCTATAGAAGGTATATAACTATCATGAATAAATAAATGATACCAGAAAAAGCATGTATGTGATGAGTTTCTGACTCATTACTTTAAATATGATGATAATTCTCAAATAATAAAATAATGTTTATCTGAGTTAATCATATGTATAACTTGCAAGTTAATTAAAACCATCAGTATGAGAAGTTATGCTATTTTTTATATGTGAAATCTCTTTTGTATTCTCTCACGCTTGCAAAAATATTATATTATTTTTTTTTATATATCATTTTTTATAAGCAAAAATATTATATTATTGATAAGGGATGTTTGAGGAGTACTTCAACCCTTACCAATAATGGAAGAACAAAAGTTCCCAAATTAAAGAAAACTTTGATACAAAATCTAAATAATGAAAAAAAATCTCAGGGGAGTATAACAAACTAAGACAACCAATAAAGGGACAACAAGCAAAAGTGTTTATGTATATGAATACTTCCTGCACAAGTCTTTTCTTTGAGTTTGTTGCAACTGAAAAAATTCTAAGATTGCTCGAAAATATTGACGTCGCTATTAAAATTTATTAAAATACAAAAAATGTTGATGATACTATTTGCACAAAAAATATAGGTTTCTTGTTATTGTGTTTGACAAGAGTTTTATCTGAATCAAGAATTTAAAGCTATATAATTCTTGGTTTAAAATATTTCAGAGTTGGTTGATTTTAATTAAAAATTACTTTGATCGCATTAATATAGATAAAAACGTTGTTGTTGATTTTTTTTAGAACACTAGCAAAAAAGAGTAACACGGGTCGCTGCGTTTTGAAAGTCTTAGACAACTTCATTGAAGGAAAATCCACCATAAAAGAAGAGTAAAGAGAGTTGTGGATGAGAAGGGTCAAGGTTTGAGTAACAGTGACATTATGAAGATTTGGAAAACATGAAAATAGGGTTATTAGCTTTGTGCTTCAAAGTTGAGGGAATATTTGGAAGAAATTTTTTTTATTTAAAATAAAATAGGAAGACAGAAAGTAAAAAAGAAAAGAAAAAGGGAAAACCGTGCATTGTTATTTATGAGAAAGTATACTGAATTAGAACAATATTTGTTCCTCAATTCAACTGCGGCAAGAATTGATTTTTTATCCACAGGCAAACTAAGTGTGACTAATTAATTGTGGCTAGGATATTTTCTGGCACCCTATGTATTTTATTGATATTAAAAAATGGTGCAAATCCCCTTGGACATTTTTATAGCATATATTTTGTTGGGTTTAGTTTTTTTTTTTTTTACTATCTTGTTCTGTTAATTGTAAATGAGTTGGGATACTTGTAATATCTTTTTAGAAATAAATAGTTTGCTCATAAAAAAAAGCTAATATTAAAAATATTTTTTTCAAAATTTAATTTAAAAGAGCGAAAGGAAAATTTGATAATACAATTTGAAAATTTTGGTATATTTAATAATTTTTTTGATATATTCAGTAATTTATTTTGATAGGAAAAAAAAACCAAAATTAAAAAGATCGTTTTTTTTTCAAATCCGACACAATATCGGACTTTTCAAATTTTTTTATAAAAATTTATATAGTTTTAAAAATCCTGGTAGTGTATTTTCAAACATCAGATAAAAACTCATAGGTTTTTGAAAATTTTCAATAGTATATTTTGAAAATTCTTATTAAAACTCATAGATTTTTTTAAAATCCAATAACAATTCATATTTTTTTTTAAAATTCAGTAAACACTACAAGAAAATCAAGTTTTAGGTACAACAATATAACATCAACCTCGACTCCAGCGCTAATAACGTTAACATTATATCTACAAAATCTATCGATTTTTTTTTAGAATAACTAGTTTATTTAAAAAAATATACGAATTAAACAAATAATTGAAAAAAAATACGAAAATGACAATTTTTCAACCTTGGGTTGCCATTTGGATTGGCGACTCAGGCTATTTGAGGAGAATTCGTCAATTGGGCTGGCGACAGGGTTATGCCATTTGGATTGGTTTCTCCAATCCATTTGACGACTTGACCCATTTACTTTTTTTTTCTGTTTAGGATTTGCGTTTTATTTTTTTCAAAATTAACTTCAATTTAAATAATATAAATAAAAAATAAATGGAATAAATATTAAATGATGTTTTTTGTTTTTCATAATTAATTGAAATTTAAATAATGTAAAATAAATAGAATAGATATTAAATTATGTTTTTTGTTTTTTATTATTAATTAAAATTTAAATAATGTAAAAAAAAAGGAATAATTATTAATTAGTTTATGTATTTCACAATTAATTGAAATTTAAATAATATTAAAAAATAAATAAATGGAATAAATATTAAAATATATTAATTTACAAAAGAATAAAAATTACAATTGATAAAAAAAAAATAATGGTCGGCTCTATCCAAACAACTACCAGTGCCACATTGTGGAGGATGCGCGCGGCGACGAGGTCTACCACGAGGTTGTTGAGGTGTGTCCAGTCTTTGGGTGTTGAGTTGTGGAATAGTACATGTTTGGACGGTCCCGACGTATCAAATAAATTTTGAAGCATTTGATCCCAATAGTCGAGAGGTCCACTATTAACAGCGCTTCCGTAGTTAAGCACAATGCCCATGTGTTCGTAGGATTTTCGGGGAGGTTGGGTGGAGTATGAACGGTATGATTGTCTGAATTCGTACATCGAATCGGGTTGGAAACGGTGTGTTGGTTGTTGTGGGGTTTGGTAGTCAAATAGTGGATAGTTGGAGGGGGTAGGGTCGAATGAGTTATCTGGGCTATAGGTGGAGGGGGTAGGGTCAAAAGACGTATTAGGGCTATATTGATATGGTTATGGATGTTGTGATTGGGTTGGTTGCATGTACGGGTCATGGTAAGGCTGTTGTTGTTGATGTTGGGCATTTGGTGGCATGCATGGGTTATGGTAAGGCTGTTGTTGGGGATGTTGGGCATTGGATTGTTGTTGTGTGTTTGATGAAGAAGCGCGTTGCCTTGGGTCAATCAAATAGGTTGGCTCATACAGAAATGGCTGAGATGTTGTAACCAAACTAAACCAAGTCATATATTGATAACATGGCCTAACCCCTTCCACAATATGGTCGGTTAAGATGTGTTGTCTTCTGTTCTTCCAATGTTGACACATCTCCTTCGCAAACTCCTTCCAATGACCGACACTCCACTGTGAGTCCACCCGTTGCTGATGCCATTGTCCCAATGACGTCGGAGCATCTGGAATATCCTGATGCATCCCAAATTGTAGCTTCACCCGGTCACTTTGGCATCTCCACTGAAGTGAACCTAATGATAGGTGTTTTGGATGTCCAAACAGCAGCATCATCGGCGTCGGACTGGTGGTCGAGACCCTCGTACGACATCTAGACAAACTACAATAAAGGTAGATAAATTTAGTTAAACAAAGTTATACAAGTTTATGCATATAAGTTAGACAAAGTAAAGGTAGATAACTTACATCATTTGGCCCAATGTGCTCGATGAGGTTCCGGTACACAATTATGGAGTTCCTGGGATGTCTTTGATAATTCATCTCCGGAATAGACCACCTAAAAAAAAGAAACACAGATAAGTTAGACTCTAAGACACATCTTACAAATTATTAACTTACAAAGAAACTTTGGTTGCTAAATAGTCTTGAAAAGAAACTTGTTGGCGTATGAGAATGTAAACGGATTACGGTTTACTAGAGCAAGCATTTGCATCCTAGACCAACCCCACGCTTGAAGGAGATAGGCGCAACAATAAAAAGCACAGGAATATTTTTTGGAATTTTTACACAGTGCACTATATAGATGGGCGAGGACAGCTGATCCCTAACTATGTTTGCACACTTTGTTTATGTTTTGTAGCAATGGTAAATACATAATATTTACGGTACTTCCAGTGCCCTCTGGAAATAAAAAAATGACCAAACAAAATCATAATATAGCACCGAGTTTTGAGTATTTTCTCATACTCAGTGGACTCCTCACTTAAGACAATATTGTTGTAGTGTTGTCTGAGGTATTTAAGATTTATTCCCTGACCCCTTGGGCGACCCCGTGTTCTGCTTCAGTTGCGTCCACACAAAGAGGGGCGCCTAATAAATCTTCGCAAAGTTGGTCGTTAACATCAATTTTGCCGTTGGCGGCCTTACCATTTATGTGTAGGCCGAGCAACATGCAGACATCCTGAAGAGTCACAATACACTCACCGAAAGGTAGGTGAAATGTATGTGTCTCTGGTCTCCAGCGTTCTAACAGTGCTAGAATGAACTTTGCATCGAGTGAGTATGATTTGATTTTAATCAAATCACCAAACCCACAATGTTCAAGCTATCCCTCTATGAAAGGGTCATGTGGTATGTAGTCATGCACACGACATCGAAACCTTGATGCATCTTGCAAAAGAAATTAAGTGTCGTTAGTTTTAAAGGAGAACTAAAGATCGTAAACATAGACAAAAAAATTACTTACAAACTCGGCGATGTTCTCAACTGTGCCTCTGTGAGAGTTGCCCATTGTGAGTAGAGACATTGTGGTTTACGAATTTGCTGAGTGAAGAAGAGTTTGAGAGTTGGGATGAGAAGATTTTGCTGGGATGAGTAGAGTTTGAGAGTATGAGGATGAGAAGAGTTTGCTCGTATGTGAAGAGTTTTAGAGTATGAGGATGAGAAGAATTTGCTAGGATGAGAGGAGTTTGAGAGTTAAAGAACCTCTATTTATAATCCACGAATGCATATGACCTGTAAATGCATGCACAACAAGTGTCAATAATGCATGTGACTTGTAAATGCATGCAGAGCAAGTGTCAATAATGCATGTCACCAGTACATGCATGCAAAGCAAGTGTCACTAATGCATGTGACCTGTAAATGCATGATGAGCAAGTGTCACTAGTGCAGAAACGACTTTTTACATCGGGCGAAATTGACTTTTTACATCGGGTCTTAGTCCGATGTAAAGTCAGGCGATGTAATAAATCAAAGA